TTTCACTTCCTCCAGACTCTAATTTTGAAGTATATTCGTGTAATCATTATCTTCACGATTAATATTCAAATTATAAATAATATAAATACAAAACAGATGGCCGAACATGAGATACAGATAAATTTGATTAAATATTATCATCCGAATAACGTTATATTTACAGATTCATTGAAAATTGGAAAGGAAAACCATTACGGCATAACAAATAATTTAAATCTTTCATTAAACGTGTTCCTACCTCTATGACATATATCATATTAGATGCAACTATGAATTTAATAAATAGTTTCAATAAGTTTTAATAAATAATTTTTTACTGTTCGATAGAAATGGAAAGTAAGTACTGTATGTATATAAGAAATATAATGTTAATTTTAAAATGTTTTGAAGTTAAAGTTAGGCGAAACACATGTAAATTATATTCATTTCAATTAGATATAAATATTAAAAACTTTGATCTACTGTCTGGATACGGATGATGGTGGAAGTCATACATAAGCTGCTATAGACGTAATTATCTGCCCATGCGTTGAATATCCCTTATGCAGTATTACAGCTGCAATCCGGTAGCATTTGGCCTACGCCAATCTTGCATTATAGAGGGCCTCTCGAATCTGTCTATGTAGTTGGCGGACAAAAAAGAACACCTAAGAAAAATGTAATGTCGAGCACGAATGAAAGTGAAATTAGTGAGCGGTGGTAGGCAGTTCTCTTCCCGTTTACTTTTCATCTGGGCGTTGTCCCTTTGAGAACGAAAACCACTCTCCGTTTCAATTCGCGAACATGGGTGACAATTCCATGAGGTTAGGTGAGTCGGTTATTAATCAATGCGCACCTGTCAGTTTCTGGCGATGTTTTATATAATTATTCCAACTTTTAATATCGTTCTTTTACACGCTCAGAGAATTATGAAATGCTTAAGGCTCTCTACGATTTCAAGGCCACGTTCGCCAAGACTCTGAGTTTTCAGGAGGGCGATTGTTTTATTCTATATCAGACTAATACCAAGCAAAGAAATTGGTGGCAGGTGGTCAACAGAAATGGACTTATTGGATACATACCTTCGAATTACGTCACCACTATAAAGGTATGGTTGTAAGGAAATTACAAGATACCTTCATTTTATTCAACAAAATTAAATGGTTTTTTAGGTACCTTCTCAAACGTTAATTGAATTTTTGGAGGATTGCATTGAAAATGTAAAGGCAGAGACCAAAGAACAAACTGGATCCTTGTATGTGGAAAAACAGGATCTCCTTTTGAAGTTAATTGAGAAGAAACGACAGGCAGAGTTTAATAAAAAGACTAAGAAACAAGCCCCAATGCCTCCCGATTTTGGGAACAATACACCTAGCAAGGAAATATGTTCACCTCTTTATAATGCCAAAGAGGGAGATGTTAATACGGCACCTAGTAACACATCTTATATGACAGCACAAACAACATTGCACACTAATGCTAATGATGATAAAGAGGAAGCACCTGTTGTTCCACAATGTCAGCAGAGGAGACAGTCTATACCAAGACAATCCTCTTCTGAGACTCAGAAAATTCAGGCTGAAGTACGAAAGAGTCCTTCTCATGGTAGTAACAGGCAGACTCCAACCAGTTCACCTATGAAGAATAAAGCTTCAGCATGTGATATTAATTCTCATACAGCTTATCAGTTACTTGATCAAGTTCGAAGAAATACTCAATTAAGCTATGAAATGTCCAAGGTAGCAGTTACCGTAGTGGTCACTGGTCTTCAACAATTATTACCGAAAAATGTGAGCCACTATTTTGATGCACTGCTGCATCAGTTGGAGACACCATTCACAGTGTCACAAATGAGTATAGAGGAGACATATGATGCTAATAGATTGAAAGTAATTTTTACAGAGCTTACTTCTTGTAAAGAAGATTCACAACAGAGAAATTGGATGCTATATGAAGATGAATCTGTTATTGTTGACTATATCAAAGAACTTACATCCATATTGGTACATTGAAATACATTACGATAATTAATCATTATATATTTAAGTAAACTGCATATATACATGATTTATTAATTTTACAGACAAATGCGGATGCAAACGTGTCTAGGTATATTTTACAGCAGGATCAATATAACGGCGTTAATGTATTGATACAATATTATCAAATGGAACCCAGATGGACAATTAGACAATTGCTGCTACAGTCATTCGGAGTAATGTGTAGTCTGGACTCTGTGATCTTAACCATAATGTTGAATAGCGTACTACCAATGGAGCTAGCAAGGTATTATTTACTATATCTTATATAATTTCATACAACAACTTGATTAATGACCCAATATGTATCTTTGAAAAGGGATATGAGAAGTAATCCTAGAAATGTGACAAAATTAAATTATTCTTCATTATTACTTACTATGATTTTTTCAATGGGTGAACCCATGCCAGTTACGCATTTGGGTGAGTAAAGTAGGTAATGTGTTATGTCATTGAATTATTTGCCTACAAAGATATTCTCTCTCTTTACTTAAAAGCCTCTGACTATAAATTTTATTGCAGAGCAATTAGGCCCAGACTTCATAGCCTTTATTCTGGACTTAATAGAAAATCCTCCAGACATGGATTTAGAAGATCAGATTTCAGACCTGTTTGTGAATTTGATATTGTCCTACAATTTACAATTCACAAATTCAGAGAACATTGTTCTGAATGCGTTAAAGGAGAAATCATTGGCGAAAATATTTACTGAGAAAAATTTGCTCCTTTTCAATAGAGAAGGTAAAAGAGTTAAAATAATACGCACATTTAATCTGTAGTAGTATTTAACATAATCGAGGTCACAATGAAATGTAATTGATTTCAGAGGATCCAGTGAGAATATTCGACCATGAGCCGCCTCCTCCGCATTCTGTACTGAAATTGTTCATTGATCTTTTCAGTAATGATGTGACAGCAGGTCTCTTTTATACCAATGATGTCAAAGTTTTAATTGATATTATATTACGGCAACTGTATGATATGTTTCCTGGGGATAAGGTACTAAAATATAAAAATCTTTACCCGAATGAGGTATAGAATAAATCTGCCTAAAATATGCCTTCTAAATTAGAAGAAAATTCTTCAAAATTTATAACATATACGTCTATAAAATGTTAGATTTATAATATATCTCATATTTAATACTATTCTTAATTACACAAGAACAAAAAAATGTGACTTTATAATTATCGCTACAGCGTAGGCAGTACTTAGAATTATGTAGACGAGTACTTCGCAACTCCAGCTACGACGAACACAAATATCGCTCCGAGGACCTACTAAAATGTTTTACAAGGTTTGTATTTAATAAAAATGTATTTGATTTTCTAATACCAATGGATACCATTTTACAGGATACTGTGCGAGGAAACTGAAGAGAGCCAAGAAGACCAACAATTGGTACGCGAGATCAGCAATGAATTTCCACATTTGTTCAAAATGTGACATTCACTCGAGTCCTCTGACAAGAAAGACTTGGAAGAGGATGATTTACAAACTTTAGTATAAATGACACTCTGGTATGTATGTAATACATAGGAGTGTAAAACTGAGGATGAATCAACAAGTTACCAATCAGAAATGTTCTTTATTTTTCTAACTTCTATTTTGCATATATTTTGCTCAGCCAGTTGTAATAATTATCGAGTACGCACACGATTCGCAGAACCTTCGAACGCATGGAGATTATATTTTTTTCCAATTTGAATCTTTGTAGTAAACTAGAAAATCTAGATGAAAAAAGACAAATAGACCAGCATTTAGAAAAAAAATTGTTGTATATATATAAGCGAGAAATTTTTTCTCATTCTAAGCATGAGGACCATCAAAGTACGGTAGAATTATTTCAATTCCCCTGACAAGTGAACTGATATTAGTCATGTAATGAGATAAAGTAGACTGCACGGATAAAATTACAGATAAAAATATTATTCTATTATGATATTAACAAATTTGAATCTGTAAAGAATCGCTATCGAGAAAGGAAAAAAAGAACGAAAAAAAAGAAATATTCATTGGAAATATGAAGAATTTAATCTCTAATGAACAATAGTTATGGTCTCTTGTTCCCTGTAAACCATAGTCTAGTCCACCTATGGGCGTGTCCGTATAGTGCTCTAAGTCATTCGTTATTTACTAATTTATGCTCGACATTTTCTTGTGAACGATATTATATATTTAGCGTATCTATAATTCAGGATATTGTAAACGATACGTTCAGCGTGGTGTTTACGACGAAATTTCAAAGTTTATTAGTGCCACTATTATATATAGTTATTAAACTTTCTAGTCTATTGCTAGCGATTCTATTTTTTTAAAAGTATTATACTACGTTACGTTTACGACTATTGACATGTCAATTACAAAGAACTCTCAGATTATTGTGATTATAAATCAAATGTTAATGAAATAAAGGTGAGTCTAGGTGATTCAAGATTTCTTCATTAAACTTAAAGGTAACCCGGATTCGATCTAGGGTCTTAGGCTCGATTACGTCTGGAAGGAACGACGCAGATCATTTTTAATGGTATTTTATTAACAACAATAAATACTGTCCATGAAAAACTTAGCAGGCGTGATGCAAGTGTATGAGACCTGTGATTTCGTTACATTATAATTAATTATAATTTGCGTACGAAACGGTTAATAGGCGGCACTCGTTAAACAGGAGGAAAATTGGCGCGAGACCGTCCAAGTGGCCACCGGAAGCCATTCCTTATTAAAATGTGTCTCGAGATCCGACGAATTTGCCCCTGAAGAACCGGAGACGCGTCATGACGTTAAGAGGAGATCTTTGTACGTTTTTCAGACATTGTTCTCGTGCATTACATATTTTTTTCTTTTCCTTTTTAGAAACCACGCGGATAATTAGTTTTGAAGTAACGCGATCGTCGCACATATATCGTGTTTGAGTTGGATTGTGCTGTACCACCAGTCAGACTCAGTTTATTCTCCAGTCATCATCTCCATGAATTCTGAAACAGACCGTAGCCACATTAGAATTCTTCAGTAGAAACAATGTATCAAAATACAGTTGTTGTCCCAGGATAAATGACAATGACTTGCAAACAGTTAATGAAATACTACAAGTAACCGGTCCGAGCATTCAACATAAACAAAAGGAGACAGTTATATCGATAACACGGTGGACGGATCCAACTTGCCTACACTATTCTATCAGTCTGTCTATCTCGCTGGTATTGGCAACGTTACATGCTGAATGAATTATTGTTGATACGTGTAGTAGTTTCCAGAATTGCCAAGTATCATGTATCATACTTAGATCAAGAGACAGATCTCGTGTTGCATAATAAAAAACCACTAGAAAGCCAAATTACCCGTGTGGACACAGGGAACTTGATTTTAAGATTTTGAAAATAGTGATTGTCCAGATCCTGGTTGTTACTTCATGAATTGAATAATGACGATAATGATTCTTATTGTCTTATAATTAACGGATACCGAGTAAACGACTGAAGAGTACAAATAAATTATTTTTCAGTATTTGTATGATAGATTGATACACAAAGACATTTAATCTCGATGCCGCATCACGCAGAATTATGTGAACGAACGTTAACGCTATGGAAGCGTGTTTCTCAGGGACTGTTAGAAAACAAATTTAAGACAATATAAAATCTTATTGATATTCTAAGGCAGCACGCGCGAGGAGCAGGAAACTGAGGAGCAGCGTGCCCATTTCATCGATCACATAAATAAACGGGAATGTATGCTTAAGGAACACGTGCTGGCTTTTCAAAACGATAACGTATGCCGACGTTATTTATTATACGAACTTGCGTACGAGCAGTGCAAAGTGAGATAAGTTGCGATCATACACGAAGCATTTTATCAAAAATCTCCGAGTATCTCGACAACATTACAGGTCGAAAGAAAAATTTACCATCGAAATCTACGGTGCCGGATCCATCCGAGTCGATTTCCTCGATCATGATATCAAGTTCCTCGTCCGTCAGCTGGTCGTCGAGTTCCCTCAAGATCTCACGCAAACACGTAGTCGGGATGTAGCCGTTTCCTGTGAAGAGATGCATGTATTCTCCGTCGATCGGCGTTCTCAATTAGCTAATCATCGAATATACATGTATTCAATAGTAATCGAATGAAAATTAAACTACATCAGCATCTGCGATTAATGTACGGTGTCTACTTACTGTTAACGAGTTGACTACTGGATGAATTTCGAATGAGTTGCTCGCGTTGTTCAAGCATCGCGTTACAATATTAATAGCATTGAGAAATTAACAGATATTACCGATGACACTATTGCTTTAACTCGGGCAGTGAAGATATTAGTTGAAGAAATATTGTAAGTAATGTTTACGAACTGCGCTCGATAATAGATTAATGTTTTAACACGATTTGTAGACCAAAGAAGAATTCCAACTGAACGGAACCAATGGCATTAATTCACGTCCGAGACTCTTTGGCTTAATCGTAATTCATAGAGGGGTCGTGGCGAAACGCGGCTGATTTTTGGCCAGCGGCCCGCCAGGCTGTTCGAATTCGGTCAGCTTTGATTCCCATGCGGAACGGGACGTCAACGGCGTTTTTACTACGTGTTCCGAGAACAGTAGGCTATTTTTGTATACCCGGTATATATCATTCTCCATTCTTCTTTCGCGCTGTTCTTTTCGCCAGCCTGTTCTCCAGTCGTGCTCGACGACGGTCGCGGAATATTCGCGGCGATAAGTCGGAATTTCAAAATTTTGGAATTCCCGGTAGAATTTCGTTGGACAGTTGCAAGAGTGCCTACCTTCTTTGTCGTAGAGCCTGAAAGCTTCCCGAAGTTCCTTCTCAAGGGCCTCAGCGTCCTCTTCAACTATGAACTTCGCAGCCAGCGTGACGAATTCCTCGAATTCGAGGCGTCCGGATTCTGGAAATCAGAAACAAATAATGCCGTCGAATTTGAATCTGATTTTTGATGATTCTACAATAAGCCCTGTATTTTCCCACAGCTTAATGTATTTGATAGAGCGTGATAATGCTAGTATTCACCGTAAAAAGTTTCTTTCGGATTGTCGAGGAATAATGTGTTATGAGATTATTATAAAAAATTTCTATGTTTTATTTATCGCTCGTTCATTCATTGGTATTCAATTGATTGTGTTAGCTATTGGTTTCATTATTTGTAAACCATGAGATACGAAGCATTATTGCAAGTGTCACAGCGACGTCCGACTAATGGCCGACTTATACTACTTACTGTCAGCGTCGACTTCCTCGATCAGCTCATCGAGGATCTTCTTGTTGAAGGGTTGCCCCATCAGTCTGAGGATGTCAGCCACCATGTCGGTGGGTATGCTTCCGCTCTTTTCTCTGTCGAAGCTGTCGAACGCTTTGCGGAGAACTAGGGCAAATCGACGTAATCTCCAATTAAAAAGTGTACAGTGCTACCCCGATTAACCGATGTAGTCAGAAGCACATTCGAGGAACAAAGTCTTTAGGTTGGAAATGATTTATAATTATAATTTCTATCGTTACAATTATTTACAGTTGTAATTGTCTATCGTTAACGTTTCATTTAGAGTGGAATTATTCAAAATCGATGCAGCTTTGTATCATGAAAACTGTTCTCATATTAATTTTTCATTTCTAGATGGACAGACTTCGTTCGCGAATCAGGGGGAATCGCGAAATCCGGTTCTATACGTTGCACGGTGCAACTGGATTCTTCGGAAGATGAAATCTCCGGACGGCCAAGATGATTTAAGTGATCTAGACCGCGACCTGGTTAATCGGGGTCCTGCCATATGTAGATTTATTATTAGAAATCGCTCGAAGACGCCGTGACGAGGATTAAATATCGCGCGGAAGGATTTCAAGCTTCACTTTCGTCGGTGCGTCGGGTTAAGAGCACTCAGCGATACGGTTCAGATTTAGAATCCGATGTTAATGCCCTTCCGTACCCCCGCAATTCTGGCTCGAAGCTTATTTGGCTTGGTGCACCATCGTTCATACTAGTTAGAACGTTTATTTATCGATGTCGACTGGTGGCGATCCGTGCGATGAAATTTTACGGTAATTTACAGGCAAACACATCCGTTATGCCACGGAGAAACATTGAGAAATCCGCTGCACGACAGGCCGTACGCTATGGTACACTCCTCCGTGCAACAAACGTAATTGAGCAGAGCGTTCCAGAAAATATTCCGTCGTCTTCGATCGCCGCAATAAAAATAAAATTGCTTAACACGTTCACTGCCACGAGAATTTCGAACGTTCCGTGTAACAATACGTGTTCTTTCATAACAATGGCAAATGGTATTAGAAATAATTGTTATTGACTTGGTACCACAATACACGTGTTATACTATCAGCTGTTTCTGATACTGAGCATTTTTATTCGACATCAGTTTCCTTATTGTAATTGTATTTAAGCAACTTTGACGGTCACCGGTGACCATCGCGGCAGTCAACGTGTTAAAATGCAGAACCATGGTACACCATACAATGTTTTCTAACGATTGAAGTTATATTTCGTTGAAAATATAATATTTCTTCAGACGTCCAATCTATAAGTTATTATAATTTCAGTTCCGATACTTTCAACTCGTCAATTATTTTCAAATCGTTATCCGTATAATTATTTTACAATTCATGCTTCATGTAACACGGTTACATAGTTGGGAATTATTTTCCAATATGGTGGGTGGTCATTGTCGTCAAGTAATAATTGAGACGCGCCGAACGAAAGCCATCAATTCTTTGGGATCCGCGGGTTTCTATTTTTCGATCCTCGGATCGCTTCCCTCTGGAGAAACCTTCCTCTATTTTTACCGATCCGATTCCCGCGATCGAATCGTCACGCGATATGCGCTAACTCGGTTCCGTAGCTATACATAGGCACCCGCTGGCTGCCCTCAATCGAATCGAAGCACAAATAAACTCTGGGAACGCGGCTTGTAGACGCGGAGATAACTTATCCGGCACGCTCGTTCCTCGCTCTATTTTCATTTTTTTTTCTCAAGCCACCGGGCTTTCCTCTTCGCGTCTCAACGATCCCGAGGGAAAAATCTCGGAATGCAGTTGCTCGAAATCACGAGTACTTCCATTCACGTTCTTCCACGGCGTATTTAAACTTTTCATAACGTTACGCCCACGGAACCCGTCAATTTCGCGCGTATGGAGTTTCGTAAACATTATTTGGCGAATGTATATCGATTTTGATCGACGCGATTAGATTATCAGTTTCAAAAATCTAAACGGAGGAATATCAATCTCAAAGAAACTAATTAATGTACTTTTCAGACCAAGGGAACAGCGCAGAAAACCATAACGAAATCCTCAGACATTGTAAACCTTCATCGGGAAGCGTAAATCACTATCGTGAGTCAACGAGTAAACGTAGACCATCGAAATTCATTTAAATCCTATGCAACGCGAAGAATTGCTAACAATTGATGTCTTTTTCAGATTGTATCGCTGGAACGATGAGAAATTAGAGTAACTAATCCTCTGACGTAGTAAACTTCGACTAGGAAGCATGAATTTCTACGGTGAGTCGATAACGAACACCTAATCGGGTGGTTAAGCGAGAGAATTTTCATTAACGGCTGGCAATATTTTGTCTGTTCGCAGAAAGGGGAGGTGAACTATGAATTCTGTTAGCATATGATCCTTCACAGGAGATAATGTATAAATTTATAAAGAAATCCTTCGATCTACGATAAAATTCTAAACGAATATTAACGCGCAAGCCGTCGTTTAAACGTTAAACCCGGAATATTTTCCGTTGTTTTCATAAATGTCGAGTTGAATCGCGGGGACCCGGCCAAATTATGTTCCCCGTTTGCGTAAACAGTCGTCCGGACGGGTTTTGAAATCGACGACAGACTTTCTTTGTTCCGGAATTGTGGCCTGACGCCCGAACGGAGCAACCTTATTTTTTGATCCACGGCTTTCGGCCCGCACGGCTCGACGGCAACACGACGAAAGGACTAAAGATAGTTGAGCACGGTTGCAGCTCCGAGATCTTCCGGAACGATCGGACCAGGCTTTACGCTGACGAAAGGGTCAGGAAGCCGAAAGGGAGACGTCGCCGACGGACGCGGGATAGACGGAGAGAAAGAAAAAGAGAGATAGAGGGAGAGCGAAGGGGGCTAAATTTAGTTTGCGTCCAGTAAACACGATACCGTTTCGCTTTCGACGAATGTCGGGAGGATTGAAATACCGGAAAGCCAAGAATGGCGCGACATGTTCGACGAACGTTCAATCTACAATACGTCTACATCTCGTATCTTTTTAATAAACAGCAGTTTATCGTTTGAAACGGTTGAAGCGTGATTTTAAACTACTGCGGATCCAACGTCTGAATTCTATTTTCAAAGTTTCACGATAACGTCGATTTTTCGTCGAGTCCTTTGAAATCAATATTTCTCTTGCTCAGATTTTCATATATTTGGATAAACATCGATGGTATATACGTTCTGATGTGTAGACTATTTTGTGATCCGTAGAACCGTTGAACTTTTCAATTAACTGTTAACGCGAACCCCGTTACGATGTCTAAATATAGCCGGGTTTGGTAAACACGATACGACTCTCCCTCCTTCGACATTCGATCCCGATGAGGAAGGTCTTTTTTTAATCTTCCGCCGCGGATCGATTCGAATGACAACGGGAATTCACGGCGATAACGAATGGATTGGCTGTTACATACCCGCAATTTGTTCGGGGGGAAGTTCGTCGGCCTGTGAACACAAAAATAATGAAGTTGAAGACGTCTTCCTCGCACTCGTCGCACTGACTGGAGATACTTGTTGCAAATATTAATTTATTAATCGCTCCCACGTGAACGGGGACGTCAAAGAATTATTGAAGAAGAAAAAGAAAATTTTGTTATTCTGATTGCACAGAGTCTGCGAGCTGTTACCAAGTAAAATGTCATCGTATCGAATTAATTCGAAGGAACCCCGAAGTGGTCGTGCAATGTTAACACCGATCCGATAGAACTCGTGCATATTACGTTAACACTAATCAACCGGACTTGCAAGTTTTATTTAATGGAAAGAGAACACCAAGAATCGTCGACGACAAATAAAAGGAGCTGACCGAACGATGCTTGCTACTTAACGCAGTAGAAATAACCGTAAGTGGTCAGACACAAAGTCGTGGCCTTTCTTCCATTATCTTAAAGAAGGCTTACCCGGAGGTATCGAATAAAGATCAATATTCCAATTGGACTGATTATCAGATTACATCAAAGAAGTTAACGTTTCCATTGTTTTCTTTTAGTCGGAACGATTACACTCGGCAGGAAGAAAGGCGTGCCGACAGGAAATTCGCCATGTAAGAAACAATCACGTTTCCAGGA